AGAAAAATGTACAGAAATAATCCCCACCCATGTCACTCTAGGGTTAATTCTCTAATTTCCTCTCCTGCGCTCTAGAAAATAAAGGCAAAGTCACAACTTCCTTTGATTAAAATCTCTGCTTGTCCTTGTCATTAAGACTGGCCTAAACATATCGGTTGCTTTAAAATTGCTCAAGTAAAATAGATTAATATCTTAGATAACTTGTTAATTTCCTTTTCGAAAATGTCCTAAACTTTCCTAGATAATGATTGAAAGGAATTATTGTCCCAATTGGCATGCCAAGGGATAGACTAGAGTGATTTTTTCTTAAGTTCATTCTTTGATTCCATAAGGGAGTGGGAGTGGGGAGGGAGAGACAAGGAAAAGAGAGACACAAAGACACATACTCCCAGCAGGGTCCTTGTGTCACTACCCTCCCCTAGCCTCAGACACCCCAGAACCTGAGTAGGTGCCTGGTTTGTTCAGGGAAGGCCCAGGATGCAAACTGGGCACCTCACCATGTGGGTTCAAATTATTTTTAAAATTTTTACATCATAACTCTGTTACTCACATGTAGGTATTGTGTTTCTTTTATATCTAAAAAACTAATCCAAGGCATTGTAAAGTCTAATTTTCCCATTTGAAACAATAGAAAATAGACTCACGATAACTTGTAATACATTGATGATTTTCAGAACACGTTTCTGATGTTAAGTGGAAAACCTTGTATTATTAAACCATGGGCTTCCATAATCCATAGAAAGTGGTGGGAAAGAAAGATAGGCATCTTCAAAGCCAAGTCTTTCTATAATCACCTTTCCTCTCAAAATGAGAATAGTTCCTGAAAATGATCTGAAATACAAATAGGAACATCTTTCGCTCTACTTTATTTTCTTATTTTTTTACATCCAACCACTGTACATCTTCACAGCATACAAAATGGATTTTCCCAATGAATATGCTGTATTAGTCCAAAGACATTACCACACACGTTACTGTCAGCAGATAATTTTACATTTTTGTGTTTGTTAAATATTTTAGTTTTATTTCCCCTTGTTTCTTTTCCCCTATCCTTACTCCCCCAGACTAGAATGATTCTTAATGTTACGTCCTGCTCTGACATTCTCTAATTCCTTATTTGTGAAATTTTCAGAAAATAAAAATATACACGTTCTTTCTTTTTTGGTGAATCTCAACTAAATAATTAATTCCTGTCTCAAGCATAGCTCAAGGGTATGTGTGTCCAAGGTTGAGCCACATTGTCTCAGGATCAAACCTTGAGCTTCCTGAGACTAAGAATCACACCTTTCACTTGTTTTCTTTTTCTTTTCTTTTTTTTTAAGAGAGATTTTTGCTATAGGGTGTGTATACTCATGGGAGAGACAGAGACAGAATACAAGAAATCATCCCCCATGCTGCAATCCCTTCTCCTCCATTCTCCTCTTGGGATTTTGGGCACACACACAAACGTACTTGGTGTGAGGTTTAAGCCGCTGGTCCAGGACTCGAACTGCTGTCCACTATATGGGAATCTAGTGATTTAATAGCTACACCATCTGGGCTCCATTCACTTCTTTTCTAAATGAACTTTCAGATTATTCCCAAAATTTCAACTCCTAAACAGCCAAAGCCTCGATATTCTACAGGTTCATTGGCAATAAAGGAAAAATTCACAAATAGACCTATGGATTTTAGGGTAATTTTCATGATAAAACAAAACAGTGTATACCACAGGAGGCACCATATGAGAGTTCACTTCTTTCTAGTACTTATCCAAGAGTACTCTCAGTGGACCAATGAGTAGTTATTACTCAATATAGTAAAAGGTCTTTTGATCAGAAGATACAGAATAATATCATTCCGAATCATATGGGATTGTCTTATTCACCCACTTTCCTATGTTTTCCTTCTGATATAATTATTTTCAACTTTCCATTCAGACTATTATCTTTTTTATAATCTCAAAGAGAACTGTAGCTTTCCATGAACCTCAGTTAAAACCTAGAAACTCCCATTACAAGAAATTTTCACTGAAGGAAAGAAAAAACAAACAAAGCACATAGGGATTGAACCAATTTTGCCATTGTTCAAATGAATCCTTTTTTAAAAAGGAAATGTCTATCATTTCCTTCTCATCTCAATTTGCCGATCTTTGTAAGGAAGATCCATGAAGAGGAGCCGGTGGGTGATATAGTGATTGAGGTACTAGACTGCCAAATGGTTGATGGCAGTTTGAATGCCAGACCCAGAAGCTTGAAACTCACACTGGGTGCATATGTGTGCATGCCCAAAATCCTGAGAGGAGAATGGAAGAAAGGGTATTGCAGTGTGGCCATCCCCGGGTCAGGGGATAGGGGTGGAAGGTGTCTTTCTCTCTCTCTCTCTCTCTCTCTCTCTCTCTCTCTCTTTCTCTCTCTCTCTTTTTCATTGAGCACACATACCCTATAGCAAAAAATCTCTTATAAAACATTTTTTAAAAAGAAGGTTCATGAAGAAATTTGCACCCTGAATATTTGTAGCTTTTTACAACATGTAAAGATGAGCATAAATGATTACGTGAAGATTACTCTGGTGTTATTCTATCTGCTGGCCTTTTGCATGCACCTCAATGAACAGAGACAGCAGGACTGTCGATGATGACAGATTTACACTGGGTGTGTCACCACACATGGAAGGTGTCTTGACAGAATGTCATCTCTCAGTGTCTGTAGGTTTAGTTCTAATCCTATTAGCTGAGGAAATAAACTTCTCAGAGGTGAAGTGGGCATACAAAACAGAAAGGGACTACCTCAATGAGACCTTCTGTAGCTGTTGGTTTTCCAATGGAAAATAAAGTTGCCAGGAATATTTGTAGAAGAGGATTTTGAAAAATAATTGTGGAAAATATAACTAAAGTACAAGTTTATATTGGTGCAAAATAAAAATTAAAAGTGGAACGGACACAGCTCTTTTCATCATACACATTTTCCATGAGCTAGTTGAAGACCTCTCATACCTATTGCCCAGACTATAAAATGGCAGCCTGTGTCAACGCACTGCAATGATGAAGTAGAAAGCCCAGCCACGAGAGAGAGCCAGCCTTGCTTCCACACTCTCCACCACTGCAGCTAGTCCCATACTAACTAAGCGGCATCTCCTGTGGATGTACCCCTTGCCCCTGTTTGTAACAACACTTGCACAACCCAATTTTCTGTGCCAGAGACTTTCTGAGCCAGAACTTACATCATTCTGTGGGCACTCTGGAACCTTGACCAAACTCAAAATTGGCAAAGCTTCAGCTGCATTTGCAGTGAAAAAGTCAGAGCCTAGGTAGGGGTCCTTAAGCGCAGGTCTGCCTCCTATTCCTCATTGCCCTGCACATATTTTGTGCAACTCAACTGAACTAACGTTTGTTATGAACATTGCATTCTTAGTGCTGGGACACCGATAGTTAACCATAGAGATGCATCTCTGTACAGAAGTTTGACGACGAAATTGTAATTAATTATATGGCTATAAAAAGTGAAGTCACATGTTGGAAAACCAATGTATGGAGAGAGAGATTGTTAGAGCAGACTAGGGTATCCATAGTCTAACAGGGAGAGTAGAGCAGGCCTCGTATAAAGAATTCTAATATTCTAACGTCATCATATCCACTTTCCATAGTCTGAATGGACATTTAGTCTCAGGTTCAGTAGCAAAATCTGGCAAATATTATGGCCAACTAGAAGATATGTGCCTAACTGCAATATACAATCTAGCAAGCAGATAGTCATTTCTGAGTAAACATTATCAGTATACCCAGTTAAAAAAAAAGAAAAAGAAAAAAAGAAAAAAACAGAAATGAGGATTTTTAGGAGAACTTTTCTTATATAAAAATACTCATTTTTTTTAATAAAATGATACACGTATCAAATAAAATACATTTGAAGGCCACATGAACCCTCTGGCCTCTAGTTTGAGGCTGCTGGCTTCCACTAACTAGCAGGTTCCCTGTGGGATCAAGGAACTGGGAATAGGACCAGCAGATGGCATAATGATTACATCATGGGACTCCTATGTGGTTCGAGTCCCAGACCCGGTAGCTTAAAATTCATTCCAGACACATGTGTGCATGTGTGGCAAAATCCTGAGAGAAGACTGATGGAGGAGGGATTATGGTATGGCTTGGGTGTGATTTCTTGCTTTCTGTCTCTCTGTCTTTCTCTGTCTCTGGTGAGCACACACACCCTATAGTAAAATCCTCTCTAAAAAACATAATAATGATAATTTTTAAAAGAAACTGGGATAAATGAACAGAAGGGAATTTAGACAGTGACAATAGGACAGTGTTGACACTGGCACTAAATGAGCAATGCCCTGACCAGAGGGGTCGATATAAAACATGAGGGAAAGAAAAGGAATGGAAGTTGGGAAACTGAGGGATGATTCAATTTTATTAATAATTAATTAGAAGTTCCTGCAGAGGAAGGTTTTCTGCATTTTATACATATTCTGAATTTGTTTAGCATAACTTAAATATGTCAGATTAAAAATCAATTAATTCTGCTCCTTTGATCTGCGGAATGGAACTCTTTGTAAGAAATTAAACCAATTTTCTCACACATTAAAAAAATGCTCTCAACAATACTTCTTCTGTTTTGGGACTAAGCAAACTCTCGCTGGCTAAAAATAACTATGAATAATCTACAACATCTAAAGGGGCGAGAGTATAACAAGCGGCTTCTCTCTGTCCAGATGTGCTCAACTATTCATAAAAATGCTTATCTAGGAAGATTGTGGTATGAAGACAAAACTATTATTTCTCTTCAAGGAATTGAAGTCAGCCTAAACATCCTTACTATATGCAATAGTGCTGAAAAGTTTGACATCTATGACGAGAAAAGATAAAAGAAGCAACAAGATCAAATTCAGCCCTTGGAGGAGCAGAAGAAAGGAAGGACAGACCTCAGGAGGGAAAGCATAAGGTTACAGGAGGGGATAAGACTTGAAGGGAAGGGAGAACAGGCAGAGGGTTCTAGAGAAGGACCTAGAATACTCACCGAGGGGAATTTCTCACGGAGAGCACCTCCAGGTTTCAGGAGTGAGGCGTGATTCCGGTGCCCCATAAAACGGTTTAGGTCTGGTCTAGGTCAGTATTTCGCTCCCAGCAGCCATATCACAGGCCCTCCGACACCAAAGGCGCTGAGACTGAAGGAACGTTCACCACCAGGTGGCGCCCTCAGCTTTTCCTTCCTGTGTCAATACTTTCCTGTGTCAGCCACGTGGAGCTGATTTCAGTTTATCTGGCTAGAGTCATTTAAAATTGGCCCCCCTCACCTTCTCTGTTCTTCATCCCAACTTCTAAAAGGGTCAAATAGGATAATGGACAGAGTTAGGGGTTTAACCTCCGAATAATTTAATCACAATTTCAAATCCATTCAGCAAGTGTGTTTGACCACCAGCTATGTGCTAAGGTCTAGGACGAACACCAGTGAACACAGCCTAAGAAATTGCACCTTTCTTTGTGGGGCTCACATTCTGATGAACAGACAAAGATTTAGAGACATAGTTGCAAATACAAATACATAGAAAGAAAAATGTATTAATTATCCTAAATTTTCACCAAATTGAAAATAACAAATTAAGAGTGTGGGTGTAAGGACACTTCTGGGTATTTTTAAAGGCAGTGAGGGAGCTTCCACAGAGTAGAGAATGATATTTTTGGAGAGGCAGTCCCAATACATGAAGACAAATTTAAATGTTTACCTTCTGTGCTGGGCCTCCACAGGGACTCAGGATTTGAGTCCCAGACCTGGAAGCTTGCTTTCTCAATCCCACTCCACCCCTAAGTGAGTGCACGTGCCTTATAGAAAATTTTAAAATAAAAATAAATTAAATTAATAGTTCTTTATTTACTTATTTATTTTACTTTTCATGTTTTATAATTTTACCAAGAACTGTCCTGTTTATTTTCCACTCTGGTAAAAAAAGTAACTAGTACTATTGGGGAAAGTGGCAATTAGAGGAAGCTTGATCTTGTGTCTTTGTCAATGAAATCTTATTTACACACACACCAAAAAAAAATTAAAATAACTAGTATTTCCTGGAGAACTTTGTGCTGCGTGTGCCTATCCAGGGTACCTGAGAGGAAGCAGTACTTTTTGGTCACTGTTTTCACCTCATTTTGCAAATATAACTTGTTCTAACCTATATAAGACCCCTTCAAAACATTGCAAGAAACATTCATTTCAAAAAAGTGAAAGTGAATGTGTTTTTTCTACTGACATTTTAAGTTACTTAAAAAATGAAAATAATTACAGTGATTATCTATTGCTCTTAAAATCCTTGGTGTACAAAACCTAATAGGGTGCTGACTTTTATTCTTTTTTTTTTTTTTTTTCTGGAGAGGTTTTTGCTATAGGGCGCTTGTGCTTGCCAGACAGAGACAGAGACAGAAAGCAAGAAATCACCCCCCAGAGGGCATGGCCACGCCACAATCCCTTCTCCTCCATTCTTCTCTTGGGATCTTGGGCACACACGCGCCCAGCGTGAGTTTAAGCCACCGGGTCCGGGACTCGAACCGCAGTCATCTACGTGGGAGTCCAGCAACATAGCCACTACGCTAACTGCTGGTCCCGGGTGCTGACTTTTAAATGCTCATTTTCCCTTTTGGATATGCTCCTCCACCAACCAATCATTTTAAGTCTAAGAAACTTTTTTTTCTCAACTGCTCTCACAGATGAGTTTCTCTAATGAGTTCTATTAATTCACTGAGAATCTCGGAACTGAAAATGGCATAATTAGCAAAGGGTAAGTATCCTAAAAGTTGATATTTTGGTTCACATAAATTTCTACCAAGGCTAGATGTTTTTGTTTGTTTGTTTGGGGTTTTTTGGAGGTTTTTTGGAGGTTTTTTTGTTGTTGGGTTTTTTTTTTATAATTTTGCTGTTTGACATGAACACTTGCTGGAGAGAGACAGAGAGAGAGAAAATGAAAAACCACCTTCCGGAACAGATGGCTACCCCTCAATATCTTCTCTTCCGCTCTCTTCAGGATTTGGGGCTTGCACACACACACGCACACACACACACGGTGTGTTTTTTCAAGTCTCCAGGTCCAGGACTTGAACTGTGGAGTCAGTCATGGACGATCTAGCACCTTAACTATGTCACCATCTGGCCCAGTTTTTGTTTTTTAACTTTATTTATTTCTTCCATGAACAAGAAAGAGAAGTAACACTTCCAACAAGGTCTTGACAGGATGATCCACCTGAGCCTCAGCCAGTTTTGATTCATGGGCACACGCATGCCCAGTATGTCCAGGGAGGTCTCCAGATGCAAACCTGGAACCTTCCCACATGGGTCAGCCTTGCAGTGTGTTGCATATTACCATTGCACTACTGTCTGACAACTTCACATTCTCAATGCTTATGGTGGCTTACCACAAATGACGTTTTTCCCTATAAAGCTAGAGAAGCAGTCTTTAGCAACCAAATCTCAGGATTTCTTTTATTTTTTAGAAAGAGATTTTTTTCTAAAAGCCATGTGTGCTGGCTGGAGAGACATGGAGAGACAGAGAGACAGAAATCAAGAAATCACCGCTCGGAGGGTTGGTCATGTCACAATCCCTTCTCTTCCATTCTCCTCTTGGGATTTTGAGCAAGCACCTATACGTACTGGGCATGAATTTCAAGCTGCCAGATGCAGGACTCAAACCGTGGTTGACTATGTAGGAGTCCAGGGATGTAACCATTACACCATCTGCTGGTCTGCTTTCAGAAAATATTACAGCAAATTGGGCCAATGATGGAGTGCCTTCCTTTATCGTTACTATTTGAGATATGTCAGAAAGGGCAAAAACACACAAAACACTACAAATTCAAATACCACCATGCTTGCGAACTCCAATAATCATCCTAAAGCAGAGAAAAAGTATCTCATTGTATGAAGCATACCTGAGAATCTACCAGCATCTTCAGATAAAGCATCAACCACCCATTGAGAGTAAGTCAGATGTTTAATTCTTGGTAAATAATTTTGCTTGGCAATTTCAAGTGAAAGTTAATTGTGCTTGAAGATACTTTTGAGTTTCTCTTAAGGCAAATTATATAAAGGCTGAATAGTTTGGTGTAGAGATCTTAGGTGGAAATTGGTCAAACAAAATAATAATAGAAGCTGATCACTTTGATTTAATCTAATGCTCTCAACAGGTATCCTGGTCTCTTAAGATTACCCAGGTGGTAGGCTAGGAGGTGGCATAGACGTTAAGGCACTAAACTCCCATATGGTTAACCAAGGTTCGAGTCCTAGATCCAGTGACTTGAAACTCATGCCTGGATCAACTGCATGTGTGTCCAAAATCCCTAGAGGAAAATGGAGAAGAGGAGACTGCGGCATGGCCATCCCCTCTGCGGAGTGATTAGCTTCTGTCTCTCTGTCTCATTCTCTTTGGTCCTATACCAAAAAATCTCTAAAAAAAAAAAAATGATCAAAGTCGCATTAATTTTAGAAACTTAGCCCAATTTTAGTTAGGTCCCTAATTACTCACTGAACTACCTTGTAATTCAGGCAGGCAATGTTTTCTTTTGATTGAAGCATCCTAGTTTTCCAGGAATTACCTTAAAGAAATCTACCTTACTTTTCATTTACTTTAATAGAAAAAAATTAACATTTCTCTGAATAAAATCTGTCCTGTAGTTTTCTCCTTTAGTAAATAAATAACTAAAAGACATATAATTCCTGAGTAAGTGAATGTGAGAAGCACGAATCACATGGATAGCCCTACAAGGCACTTAACACTGAAAGTCAACATTCCCCATGCCACAGACTTCTTGAAAGTCTTTACAGAAAAAAAAAAAAAAAAAAAAAAAAAAAAAAAAAAAAAAAAAAAAAAGTGCACTGAGAACTACTGAACTTATCCAAACCCCTTATTTCACAGAAGGAATAAGAACCAAAGAATTAAGTTGATTGGCTCCATCATTTAATCAGAATAAGTTAAGGTTAGAATATAAATTATCGGACTTCAAATTCATGCTCTTTCTCTAGTGAGCAGATTTTTCCTCTTTCCATGGTTTAACATATACACGTTTTGCTAACAAAATGTTTTCAAACTCTCTTATATTTATTTAACAATTACTTCTTTTCTGGCACTTGTTGACACATACCTGGTCTAGCAGTCACCAGAATGTCTACCATATAAGTCATGGGAAAATGTCTTAGGACACAGAACTCTTTATCAAAAATCTCACGGGGGCCAGATGGTGGCACAATAGTTACCCATTGGATATATATGAGAGGATCCCAGGTTCTCATCCTAGAGCCTCCCTATACATACAGGCATGTGTGTGCCCATGAGCCAGACAGCCTGGAACTGGGTGTTGATCGTGGCAAGGGGATGCTGTTGGTAGTGACTGGCTCAATCCTCTTTCTCTCTTATGGCAGAAATTTAAAGAGAAAAAAAGAAAATTTAAAAAAAGAAGAAAAAAATACCCATTGTCAGTATTGGAGTAGTTTTGCTTCATCTGCCTACATTGTCATGTTCCTGTGAAATGGTTAATTTGATCAATAAATAAATACATGAGAAATAAATGTGTAAGCTATAAAAAGAAGACAAATATTTATATTTGTGTTAGTATTTATATTTGTTGGCTATTAAGTATTGTTGTCATTACATTCTGTTACCTGAAGTCTTTCATTCATGTAGTTCTGCATTCAAGATGGCCACTTTCTACCTCTTCCCATTTGTTTTTCCTTCATGGAGTCTCTGGGAAATAATCTTTAAATGAACACTAGTTAATTATAACTCTACAATCTTGAATTACCTCATTTCCCAGAATCTATTCAAATATGTGTCCTAGACATGTTTTTATTTTTAATGTTTGTGTTGTTTCATAGCCCTTCTAGTTCTATTACTATTTCTATTTGTCAAGATTTTTTATAGGCCACTTAGATATATGAACTGTGGCAAATTTAACAGCTTCTCTAGAACAACTTCTCGGTTTGCTCATGTGTAAAAATGGAAATAAAATTACCTGCTTTGGTAGTCATGGCAGTGCTCACTCTGAAAGAGCTGTGCTTCTCAGTCTGGGACCACATGGGAACCAGCAGTTAGCGTAATGGCTATGTCACTGGACTCCCACATAGTCGACCGCGGTTTACGTCCTGGACCCGGTGGCTTAAACTCACGCCGGGCGCGTG